GAAATACCCATCCAAGAAGAACGGAAAAGCAACACACCAACGACACCAGCAAACCAAGCATCTGCCCCTCGAAACCCAAAAACAAATCATCGCCCAGAAACTCCTCGCCTCACCACCTGCCGAGGTGTCATCACTGCTACCCGCGAAACCGAACCAGACGAATATGAACGGGCAACACCCTCTCGTCCCCGACGAAAGCGATCTGCTGGGCTTCGTGACGACGGGGTCGTATTGTCTCGCTGAGGGGCGGGGGACGGCGATTGGGTGTTTAGCTGCCGAGAAGGCTGCTGAGGCGGTGAGGGATGGTGGCGGTGGTGGTGGTAGGGAGGGGACGTTGTGTATTGTGCGGAATGCCGGGGAGAGCGTTGGGTGGATTGCGCGGTGGGAGGTTGTTTGAAAGCTGAGAGGGTGTTTTGTTTCTGCACACACACACACATACACATACACGACAAACCACTGTGAATGGGACGTGGGGTTTCGTTGTAGATGTGTGAGGTCAGGTAACTTTTGTCCGGCAAGGCCAGGAAAGGAGACATTGGTCCCTATGAGGATGCGTTGACACCAGGAAAGCCGATCACTAGATTAAAAGATAGGCAGACCGTCCTCGGGACGGAGGTGAAAACAAGCAAGTTGCCCGATAGACGGGGATGATACGTTTCGTCAGAGCCAAATAATTACATATCCACGACCCCCCCCCCCCCCCCCTCTGCCTTAAGTCTTGGTCTACCTCAGGACACGCAATCTGTTACTTGAAAACGATCAATCTGGTTGGGGATCCCAAGTGAGACTGAAGCATGTTCAAAGCACTCACCAGATCCCCGCCCAAAGTGGGTGATGAAATAAGATGTTGGTCAACACCAGACTACGATGCTTACTTACCTACTGATTATTCCTAACTTTCTAATTCCTTTCGTCTTTTTATTTCAAGTTTCGACTACCTCGATTATTTCTACTATCCCTATTATATCTACTATCTTTACTCTCTCTATATTCATTAGAGAATACTCTTGAGAAGAATAACAAGGAATGATAATAATAATAATAAAAACAGAGCTAGGTACTAGGATACCCATAGAGCGGCAAGCGATTATTTCACCCACTTGCCCCCGTACCAACACCCCTTTCGACGCAAATGAGAAATCAGACATCTTTGCACATCGTTATCGTCACAGCACAAACACGCACACACATAGAGAGAGAAAGACCCAACGTGACGTGGGTAGAACACTCGACTGTTTTGGCGAGGTTAATTCTGTTCTTGTGTAGGTACTGTAACTGTCTAGCCCCTGGGCTGAGATGAAAAACAAGAACAACAAGACGCATTTGACTGTGAGATATCCTGCCTGGGTTGGGCTCGCCCGCAAAGACGGGGCAAAAGAAGTCCGCCTTGATATGTGAAGAAAAAAAAGGAAAGCCAACAAAATGACAGTAACTCCTTTTTTGGTTCCTGCTGTTAAAAACGCCGTCATTATATCACCTGCCGCTCTCGATGAGGGTGATTTTCTTTTGAAACACGCGCGATAAGACCTCTCTTCTTCCAATGACTTGCCCAGGGAAATTGACTCTCCCCTCGCACCTTACCAAGGCGAGGAGTTTGGCAGTTGGAAGCCTCTCAACAAAAAATGACAAGGAAAGCACCACCAGGACGGCGGGGCCTCTAATCTTCCTCACTGACCTCACTCTCCTCAGCGTCGCCGCTATTCGCAGCCTCGAGCTCCTTCTCCAGCTCCGCCTCCAAATCATCTTCCAACGCGTCCTCAAAGTCGGGCTCCGAGTCAACCTCCATCTGCTCCACCTCACCCTCGGCATCCTCATCTTGGTCGTGATGGTGTTGCTGTTGCCGCTGCTGTCCGTTCATCGGGCTCGGCAGGTTAAAGTTTGCGAAATCGCGCTCTTCCAGGTCCGACTCGCCGTCAGCGTCGTCGGCCTCGGAGTCGCGCAAAAAGTCGGAGAAGCTGCGGACCTGGATATTGGGCGCAAAGGCGGGCGAAAAGTCGGCTCTCTTGTTCTTCTGCTCGTCGGGGTACTCTATCGTCAGGCCAAAGTCATCGTCATCGTCGTCGTCCTCCTCGTCCGAGCCCGCGGGCGCCTTGGCCTTCTTCTTGGGCGGCGATGCGGCCTTGGGCGCCGGTGGCGGCGCGTCGTTTGTCGGCAGGGCGAGGGTGATGTTCTTTGGTGGCGGCGGCGGACGGGCTTTCTTGTTGCTGCTGGCCGAGGGCCGCTTGGGACCGGCGGCTTTGGAGGCTGGCTTCGCGGGGGACTTGTCCTTCTCCTTGACTTCGGCGGCGGCGGGTTTGCGAACCTCGGGGGTGGCGGTTATGGATGTGTCGAGCTGCTCGAACTGCTGGCGCAAGGTCTCGGGGTTGTCGTTGGTCGGGGTGCGGGTAACGTTCATGTGGAAGGTGGAATCGATCTTGTCGAGGATGAAGGCTTTCCTATTGGGATCGAAGTAAAGGACATATTGGTTATCGTCCATAGTACGAGTACCGGCGTAGCCGTACATGCCATTGTTGCCGTCGGGAAAGGAGAGGTCGAAACTGGACTTGCTGCCAGGGGTCTCGGGTTTTAGTCTGGCTGTCGCTGGCTCGGAGGCTAGTTCTGGCTTGTGATTGTCTGCAGTGAGGTCGCGAAGGCGAAGATGTTAGTCCAGGCATCGGCATCGAGGTTCAATGATGGAATTTGGTGCGAGAGTTACGTACATCGTACAGAGGTAAAGACCTCCTTCTGGGTACGCCCGAGGAGAGTGTCGCTCAGGATAACGGGATATTTTCCCGTCTTTGTCGGGTCGATGAGGCCATTCAGGTTCTTGGGAAGGGCCTTTTCCCTGTGATTTGGACGGAGAGCCGACATTGTGGCGCCTGTCGCAAGGAGGGCAGTGATGAGAGTGAGGTGAGGGAAGAGAAGTGGAGGGAGGGTAGACGGTACTGCGACTGCGTAGACCGATGATCGTTGAAGGGAAGTGGGGAGAGGGGACCTCGTAGCCTGTAGGGAGGAGACGGGATGATTAGAGGCGGGAACTGGGGCCGGTCCCTCTGCAGATTGCAGTGAGGTGTGCAGTCGAAGCGCTGCTTCCTTCCGTTGCCGCAGCGGTTCCGCTAATTACGAGTCGCCTACAACTTTAGGGTCGTTCCGCGGAGGGTGCGCTGATGTTCCAGCTCTTCAGGCGGAAAGGCCGAGACCGCAGGTGGGTTGCACTGCTAAAAATGCACGTTGACCAGGGTGGGGGATGCAGGGCAGAAGCCTGGTGACGAATGGTTGATGACAACGGAAGTATGGAATGGCGACAAGAAGGTGATGGACACGCTGATGGGATTTGAGGTGGGAATCTGGTTCGTCGAAAGAGAAATATTCCTACCGACCGATGTTTGTGAAAGACTTGTGAAGCAGACCAGCAACCCGGGAGGCTCTACCTACCTATTCGCTTCGCCTACTTGCCTTACCTAAGATAAGGTGGTCTGAGGCTAAGTGAGAGGTCGGATGTGAATTACACTTCAGGATCTGGTCGTTCGATTCAGCTTCATCACCTCCGTTCAATGTCCAGATGCTTCCACGTCGCCGTCGGTGAATGGAGTCTGTGAGGTGGGATATGCCTGGGGCTGACGCTTGGACGCCTGAATCAGTGGCGGCGACAGGTAACATTGTTGTTCAAACATAACTTACATTGAGATCAGGCTGCCGTCAATAGTTTGGACTGCCATTCGGCACTCAACAGGATAGGACCCTTCATGTGCGGCTGTGCTACTGATTTGTAGGTATCCAAGAATAGTCCGTGACGAAAGCCAATTTCAGTCGGGCGAGCCAAATTGAATTTGGCTTACTCAACTGCCCGGCGAACGACAGTGCTCAGACGTCAATCAAGGCCTTTGTTCAAGAGCATGCTGTGATAGGTACGATCTAAGTGAGGCCATCGTAAACTCACAAGTCGGAAGAAGATGACCGGATTTTTATTTTCATTCTTCCAACGGTAACTGCTTGATTTTGGGCACGACTACCTCAAGCCAGTGCTAATCAATACTTCTTGACGCCATTTTCCAATTCTTGAAAGGAGACAATCTTGTGTTTTTCGTCAAGGCTAGGACGAAGCATAATTGCTCTTAGTGCGCATCTAATCTCAAATGCACTTCCTCAGCAGTGCAATCTTTCCGGCTACACAAGTCACCCAGGATGTCTTATGATACAATCACTGCGGAGCTGCCAGTGCCAAACTGCAAGGTCATTGAAGGACTAGTATGAAGAATGCATACCTTGGGCAGAGCATGTGGCGTAGGTAAGGTAAAGAGCGATTTCTCGACTTTCCCCGTTATCCGCGGGAGCCCCAGATTTTGCGATAAGATTGAGTTCGTCCTTATCTAGAACCCGCCACTAGCCGAGGAGACATCCGGGTTTTGCACGGCTCGGTCGACATCCCCCTCTGCGTGCACCTTAATGGGGCATTGGCGTCCCTCTGCCATCTCACTTGGCATCACTGAGATTGTCTTGATTGCTCAGAATGCTGTGCAACTCTTGAAAGCATTCGGTTCGTCAATCGAGTGGTTTTGGTCAATTGATCATTCATCATCATGTTGTGCTGATTCCAGGGCAACTGGTGTATTGAACACCGGCGGGGAAATCACAGGTGCTGGCCGGGGTTCTCCATATTCCTCTCCCAAAGGCCCCAACCTCGTCCAGGTTCACGTCAAAGCTCCCCCATCCCCCCGCCCGCTGCCCCAGGCTAGAGAGGAGCAATTCAGGCCTTGTGGGCTGTAGCTCTCGAATGCCATCATGGCTCGCCAGGGGTAAGCGCAGACAACCTCGGATCAAACAGCCACACAAGCTTCGGCAACGAGCGGCACCCTACCATCCTTACCCTGCCTCCCTTCCACTTGAGCGAGACAAAGCTCCAGTTGCTACGGCGTAGAAAATACTGCTCTGCCATTCTTCTCTTCCTTTTCCAAACTCTTCTTCTTCCTGATCCGAGTGACCAAGCAGAAGAGAGAAAGAGGCATTGAGACTGTGACAATACCCAAATATCATTGATACCCCCCCAAAGGCCATCCACTTCTCACCACTCTTCTCCCAATCAATTGACCTGCATACATCCATCACACCTCCTCGCGGTCATGTCTGCGGCGGTCAACCGAGGTCTCAGGACAGCTTCCCGATCATTGCGTCTCCAATCGCGAAGCGTCCGCCTGGCCACTCCTCTCCGCGCCGGTCTCGCCTCCACTAACTTTGCCGCCCGCTCCGCACCTCAACAATCCCACAACTTCACCACCTCATCTGCGAGACAGAGCGCCGCACCAGCCATGGCCGAAGCGAGAGAGTACGATCCTGAGATCAAGGACATTGCCAACTACGTCCAAAGCTACAACGTCGATTCCGAGCTTGCTGTAAGTCTTTTTTTCTTTCTTTTTTCCTTTCCATCCTTCTTTCATAGCCTGGGCGACCCGCCCGAGTTTTACCCCGCGTCACAGTCAGATCGCCGCCGCTAACCGCCGCTTTCGTGAGAATAGTTCGACACCGCACGATGGGTTTTCCTCGACACTCTCGGCTGTGGTCTTGAGGGCCTCCGCTTCAAGGAGTGCAGCAAGCTCCTGGGTCCCATTGTCCCTGGCACCGTCGTTCCCAATGGCCCCAAGGTCCCTGGTACCGACTTTCAGCTCGACCCCGTCAATGCCGCCTTCAACATTGGTGCCATGATCCGTTGGCTCGACTACAACGACTGCTGGCTCGCCGCCGAATGGGGACACCCTTCCGACAACCTGGGTGCCATCCTGGCCGTGGCCGACTGGATCACTCGTACCAACAAGGCCGGCGGTAACATTGCTGGCGGCAAGCAGTTCACCATCCGCGATGTTCTCGAGGGTATGATCAAGGCTCACGAGATCCAGGGCTGCTTGGCTCTTCTAAACTCCTACAACAAGGTCGGCCTCGACCACGTTGTCCTCGTCAAGGTCGCCAGCACTGCTGTTGTCTCCAAGATGCTCGGCCTCAACGAGAAGCAGATTGCCGACGCTGTCACCCAGGCCTGGGTCGACGGCCAGAGCTTGCGCACCTACCGTCACTCCCCCAACACCATGTCCCGCAAGTCATGGGCTGCCGGTGACGCCTGCCAGCGCGCCGTCAACCTGGCGCTCAAGGTCATGAAGGGCGAGCAGGGCATTCCCACCGTTCTGTCTGCCCCCGTCTGGGGTTTCTACGATGTTCTCTTCAAGGGAAAGAAGTTCGAGTTCCAGCGCCCTTACGGCAGCTACGTCATGGAGAACGTTCTCTTCAAGGTCTCCTACCCTGGTAAGTAATTCATGGTAATACTCATAATTCTGAGCATGTCAATTGACGAGACACAGCCGAGTTCCACTCCCAGACTGCCGTCGAGGCCTCTTCCAAGATTCACCAGCAGCTCAAGGCGATGGGCAAGTCGGCGGCCGACATCAAGGGCGTCACCTGCCGCACGCACGAGGCCTGCATCCGCATTATCGACAAGCAGTTCAAGCCCATGGACAACTTTGCCGACCGTGACCACTGCATCCAGTACATGGCCGCCACCATGCTCGTCTTTGGCCGCCTCGAGGCTACCGACTACGTCGACGGCAGCGAGGCCGCGACCTCCCCTCTCGTCGAGTCCCTGCGCCAGAAGTTCAAGTGCGTCGAGGACCCGCAGTTCACCAAGGACTACCACGACCCCGCTCTCCGAACCATCTCCAACGCCCTGACTGTCGAGTTGAACGACGGCACCGTGCTCGAGGAGGTTGTCGTCGAGGCACCTCTCGGTCACCGCCTGAGAAGAGAGGAGGCCAAGCCCGAGATCCTCAAGAAGTACAAGAGGCACTTGGAGCCCCACTTCGATGCCGGCAGGGTCAAGCAGCTTGTCGACCTTGGCCTGGACCCCAAGAAGTTGGAGGCCACTCCTGTGGATGAGTATGTCGATCTGTATGTTGCCAAGGACAGCAAGTTCATCTAGGCGGTGGCGCATAAATGATTTCTAGGGAAAGATCTAGGAAAAAAGATTGGATACTATAGATGTTATGTTTCTAAAGGATTTAGATATGGAAATCTGACAAATAGTATTGTGGCGCTCAAAGGAAAGGTCCATCTTTGGTATAAGGGGTTTCGTTCCTCGTGTCGGCACCGTGTACGACGAGTCATCGGTCAATGCATCTGAGTGGCTGTCTCTAAAGATGATGTCCGTTTGGATATGAAAAGTTTAGGCGATACGAGTATTGTTGGACACCCGACTGGCTACGCGCTAATGGCTTGTCGCTGACGAATCCGCCCCTGCAAGAAGCTCCTACGGCGCCCTCCCGACTCGGACAAGTCCTGCCCAGGCACGGCCAGGTTTGGCGGGCACAGCCTCCCCGAAGCTCTTTAGGGGATGATTGGCTTCATCGTAACCCAAGCACCCAAAATCTGTACGGGAGTATAGGCAGTACCTTGGATGACTGATGATCGCCAAGCCCAGTTCCCTGAGCTGGAGTCTGGGCGACGTTCACCTGGTGGGTATTTTTCAGTGGATGTTTCTCCTGGAGCGGTGGAAACGGAGACGACGAGGACACCAGGACACCAAGAGAAACGGCTAGCTCGGGTCACGGCATTGTTTTGCGTTTCACAGGCCAGACACTTTTCGTTTTCCAGAGTGTCATTTGGAACCACAGGGACCACCAAAAAGGTGAGGGACTCCAAGTCTCGAAATGCATGGCGTGTTACCTAAGCCGCACTGCCACTCACCTTGGGTACCTACCGTGCTACGGCCTGCCGACGGATACTTGTACGGCGTACGGTCTGTACCTCCCACTTGGCCCTCCACCAAGAGCGCCACTTTAGTCCGTACTGATCTCCTGTTCGGACCTTTACTTCACTCCGACCGCATCTGTTTGTTCTGGAAACAACTTCGCCTCCTTCGATTTTTCCAACGTCTGAATCTGATACCCTCTTGCTTTTCGACTCACGAGAAACCGTTTGCTTTACTCACCTTAATACCGACCGACAACAACACTCGACTTTCCACTGCACACCTCTCGAGCAACACTTTGATAGCCCATCTAGATTCAAGTGGGGGTTAGTCTCACAACAGGCACCATGGACAGGCAAACCATCATCGAGACCAACCGGTCGCTGCGCACCATCAAGAACGTAGGTCAATTCCCGACACCCTTCCGAGGCTGTCGAGAGAGGCGCGGACGATGCTGGTCAACTCTGGCTGCTTCCGATTCCAGATCTCTCGACTTCCCGCCCGATCCGCAATCCCACGGAACCGCAGAAGCACTCTATGCTAACGTACCTTGACTTCCAGGAACTCGAGAACCTCCTCGAAAAGGGCGTCATCTCCGAAGATGCCTACGACAGCATGCACGCCACCCTCCCCGCCGAGACCCCCCTCCACGGCGCCGCATCCCGCGCCGCGCCCGCCGCCGCCGCTACCCCCGTCCAGCACAACAACCCAACCTCCCCGCCGGCCCCGACCGCCGCCATGGCCGCCCTGAACGTCAACCCCTCCGCCTCCCCGGCGCCCCCCTCCTACAACCAGACCGGTCCCCCCTCCCTTCCCGCCCGCACAAACGAGAAGCCCGTCCTGGCGCACGCCCGCGCGCTGTACCGCTACGCCGGCGCCGACGCCCGCGACGTGGCCTTTGAAAGGGACGACCGCATCGCCATCCACGAGTACATGAACGCCGACTGGTGGATGGGCCGGAACCTCCGCACCGGCCAGGAGGGCATATTCCCCAAGACGTACGTCCTCGTCGAGCAGGACATGGCCAAGGGGGCCTTCGCTCCCGTCCCGGCTCCCGCTCAACCTCAGTACGCGGCCCAGCAGCCGCAGTGGGCTCCTCAGCCGCAGTACGCCCAGCCTCAGGGCCCGCCGCCCCAGCAGAACCCGTATAACGCCGACGCGCCGCCTCAAGCTGTCGCGGACCAGAGCACGGGTGGTAAGGAGGGCGGCGGCAAGGGGGCTGAGATGGGCAAGAAGTTCGGAAAGAAGCTTGGTAACGCTGCTATCTTTGGTGCTGGTGCTACCATTGGTTCCAACATTGTCAACAGCATCTTCTAAGTGTGTTGTTGATGGTGAGGTGCTGAAAAATATGTTGGTAGTTTGCTTTGTGACATACGGACAGAAATGGTTCTTTCTGCTCGATGATGAACATTGCTGGAAGGACTAAAGGGCTAGATTGCCTGTCCTCCTTTTTCGTTATCTGCTGGGGAACTGGGTGTATATCTGAAATTGTCCTCAGGAAAGCTCCTGCCCAACATGCCCCGCCAATCGTGGGGAAGCTCGGCTGAAGTTGCTTTGAATCGGGATTGCTACATGGAGAAGATTGGCACATATGGACACGCTCATTCTGTTGTTGTTCCCTCTCTCCCGCTAATTGGTCATGGGCCCAGGCGTTACATCTGAATTTTATAGGGCCATTCCGTATATTGGAATCAAATGATATACTTTTTTATACAAGCTTCCCGGTGACGTGATACCGGGGCTTTCCACCTGTTTTCTATGCGTCTGTTTGTCTGTCGTCACTTGTTGGGCTCAATCTATGAGTGAACTATGAGTGAACTATGAGTAGTAACGTGACAACCTAGAAAGTCAGCCTGCTTCGTTCAGGTAAGCTAGTCGATCGAAAGGATCTCCCGAAGGCATAGACTTGATTGGGTGGAGGGGGTTGTATCTTTCGTGGGCAAATCAACTCGGAAACGGCTTGGTCGGTGGGCAAAATGACTCCAGGTTGCTACCGGAGGATTTCCATGTCATGCCTCCGTCTTCCTAGGTGTCCTGTTTTGTGTGTACTATACCCAAAACACGCGCTTCTGAGATTCGAAACTCCAATCAACGCACGAGCTTCGGGGCAAAGAACGTGTGAACGAGAGAACGAGTACTAGAAGAGAAGGGGGTATGTAGATGGATGACTTCGCGGCTCGGTCACCCCGGACATCCGAGGTGGTCTGGGTCTGTGGACCGCACCCTTCTAAACTGCTCGTTACCGGTCTGACGGGTGGTTTCCCTTTTGATCGGGGGCACCAGGGTTGATGGAGAGGAGAAGAAGGGGGGGATACTAGGTTTGGGAGGTTCGGAGGGCGAAGGTATGTGTGTGTGTGTGTGAACTAGGGATAGGGGAAGGGGGCGGAGGGTGGTCATGGCTCGACGATGGCTTCGTTTTGCTTCTCCTTTGGGGTATTTCGAAGAGAGAGTGAGAGTGACAGAGAGACCCACAGAGGAATATGGAGACATATTACATTCCTCAGGTCCGGGTGCTTTCTTCGAATCGGTGAGCTTGATCGCCCTCGGTCAATAACAACTCTCTATTATTCCTCACGTCCTGAGTGTTCTCCTTTGAATCTGGAGAAAGTGACAGATACCCCGGGATTCGACGGTTTGCTAGGTGGAGTCAACCTTGTAAGATGACGAAAGAACGGCAACTTTCGAATGTTCGTTTTCTCTTCTTGTTGCTATAAGCCGGCGAAGTGGATGAGGCTGGGTGTAGTGAGGCTTTGGGGGCTGCCAGGCTGTGCATATCAAGTGCGGCGTTACTGCTGCTGCTGCTGCTGCTAGTTAATCTGTCTTTAAGTTTGCTTGTTATAGACCCGATGTCATCATACCCGTCTCCTAGAGAAAATATCTAATAGGGATCATGCCTCAATAGGTAACTTTCGGGACAAAAGCAGAGATGTGAAGCAAGAGTTCTTGATTTCCTCTGACGATCTATCGTATCCCACTCATCCCACCCGTACACACACATATATACACTTGCCTACCTACGACGATCAAGAGAGGCGCACGCTGTGCACAAACCAGATACTGCCCTCCCGTCCACCTCTCATACTGATACGCCGGTGTGAAAGTGCGAGGCAACCTCTCTCGTCTCTCCCTATCCTGGATACTTCTCCCAGTCCCAGTCCCATCCCACCACCAAAACTCATCCAATCCCCATCATCCCCCCGGGTGAGATCTCTCCGACCCTCACCCTACCCCCCTCCCACACATCACTCTTCACCAAACCCCAGACTTCATACATCACCCACCCCAGAGTTCCTTCCATGGATTAACCCCCCTTCTATCCCACCACCCTCTTCGAAGACCTCCAACGGGATGAAAGGACGTAAGGTTTAATCGAATCGCGCTGCTCCGTCCATCCCTCCTTCTCTCATTTCGCCATCCATCCCTAACCGGGTTATTCTTAGACTTTCTTCTAGTTCCCTTGGTTCAAATGTCGGTACCGAGGCCGTGGACGAACATGTGCTCGGTTCGGGGAACGGAAAGAGATCGGGGAAACAGAGAGGGAAAGAGACGGGGGGGGGGGGGGGGGGAAAAGGGGGGAAACCGGGGTGGGGGGGGGACTTTACGCGTTTTCCCCCCCGGTTTTGGGGGTATGTCCCCCCCGCGGGGGGAGTTTTTTTCATGAGGGGGGGGGGGGGGGGGAGGGGGGGGGGGGGGGGGGGGGGGGGGGGGGGGAGAAACGTGGGCAATCCGGTTCGGGCGTGAACTTTCACGTCTTTCACCCCCGTGTTTGGTCAGTCATGCTCCCCAGACTGGGGTAGTTCTTCTCATGAACGGGGAGGGGATCCGATGGGAGTTTGGGAATCTGGGGGTTCTTGTGCGTGGTGGATTTGAATCTGGGGATGCCGTATGCAGTTCTGATTACGAGCTTCCCCATGGATGAATTGATGTTTGTTGGGTTAGGTACTCTCCAATCGTCACTTTGGTCTTTTCATGAGGCAATTGAGCAATAATCATATCTTCGTGTTCGTGAGTCTCACTGATTTTGAAGTGTCTACCGTGATTTGATAGTCCAGGTAATGTGTACATCCTCATATCTCATCCTCTCAAGATGGTAGCAGTACATCGTATCGGCGTTCTCCTTGCGGTCACAATCGCAAAACATCACCGAGAGCATCGAAAGTTCAGGACAAAAAGAGGGTTGATATTCATTCCGCTATCCAATCTACCCCATCCTCCGTCGTGCCGAGAGAAAC